TGATAATAATAATTATAATAAAGGTTTCTTGAACAGCAAATCATCATATTAGAATGATTTCTGAAGGATCATGTGACACTGAAGACTGGAGTAATGATGCTGAAAATTCAGCTTTGATCAAAGGAATAAATTACATTTTAAATAATATATTCAAATTGAAAACAGTTTGTTTAAATAGTAAAAATCTTTCTGTTTTTTCCTGTACTTTGGATCAAATAAATGCAGGCTTGGTGAGCAGAAGAGACTTCTTTAAAAACATAAAAAATCTTACTGTTCAAAAACATTTGACTGGTAGTGTATATTAATCTAAAATGCAACAAAACCTAAAAAGCAGATCTGAATTTGAGATCTCTGCTTATATAGAAGAGTCAAGTTTAAATATCTTCCATTATTGTATTAAATGTGACCCTGGACCACAAAACCAGTCATAATGATCAATTTTTTGAAATTGAGATTTATACACCATCTGAAAGCTGAATAAATAAGTTTGTTATGATGGGACAATATTTGGCCGAGATACAAATCTGGAATCTGAGGGTGCAAAAAAAATAATAAATCAAAATATTGAGAAAATCGCCTTTAAAGTTGTCCAAATGAAAGTTTGTTATGATGGGACAATATTTGGCCGAGATACAAATCTGGAATCTGAGGGTGCAAAAAAAATAATAAATCAAAATATTGAGAAAATCGCCTTTAAAGTTGTCCGAATGAAGTTCTTAGCAATGCATATTACTAATCAAAATTTAAGTTTTTATATATTTACAGTAGGAAATTTACAAAATATCTTCACGGAACATGATATTTACTTAATGTCCTAATGATTTTTGGCATAAAAGAAAAATCAATAAATTTGACCCATACAATGTATTTTTGGCTATTGCTACAAATATACCCGTGCTACTTTAGACTGGTTTTGTGGTCCAGTGTCACAAATTATTAATATACATTTAAACTGTTCTTCATGGATCAATAACTCCATAATCAATGCTTAGTTGTGGTGTTTTGTTGGCGCAGGCCATGTTCTCCACCGACCTGATGGAGTCTCGTCAGGAGCGGGTGGCCATCAATGGAGTGGAGCCCCAGATGATTGCCATGCTGGTGAGCTACGCCTACACGGCGGAGGTGGTGATCTCCAAGGCTAACGTACAGGCGCTCCTGGCGGCCGCCAACCTGCTGGACGTGATGGCGGTGCGGGAGGCCTGCTGCAGGTTTATGGAGCGCCAGATGGACGAGATGAACTGCGTGGGCATTCACTGCTTCGCCGAAGCGCACTCGTGCCGAGAGCTGGAGCGACGCAGCATGGAATACATCCAGCAGCACTTCAGCACCGTTTGCCAACAGGTGAACTCAACCAGAGGAGTGTCACACTTTAGATGAGCTCTTAAAGTGAGGCTCAGTTACCACAGCTGGTCCTTGTCAGGGTCAAAAATGTACTTTTACAGCAACTGACACACATTTGACCATGTTTAAGTCCATTCCCCTTAAAATCAGCACAGAAAAAAAAAAAAAAAAAAAAAAAAGTGTCTAATATGATAAATGAAAAAAAAAATGTTTGTTTGTTTGTTTCACAAATTATTTGTTCAAACCCTGAGACATAAAATTGCCCAAAACACCCTTTTGTATCAGTGAATGCAATTGAAAATTATTAATAATTATATACTGCCAAAAAACAATGTGTAAAAAAAAAAATTAAAAAAAAAGTCTTTAATACAATGTGAGCAGATGTCACAATTGACTCATTTTCACATATCACAACAGTCATAATGATTTTAGTTTAATTGAGCAGGGGCATTTTGAATTTGGAGGGCTTTTGTTGTTTATTTTGCTGGCATTTTGCCCTGGGCTTTTGTTATTCTGTTTTCTGTTGCGAACATATCAGAAAAATTATTATCTTTCTAATGCATAGACTGATATATTTTTCCATCTTATAAATGATTGACATCATGAGGATTCTAATTGTCCTTGATTTTTTTTTTTAAGAGCTCATTACACTATAAATGTATGTCTTCTTTCTCTTCTGTTTCGCCTCATCAGGAGGAGTTTCTGTCTCTTTGTGCTGATAAACTGACTGAGATCATTTCCAGTGACCATCTGAACGTGCCAAAAGAGGAGACGGTGTTTGAGGCGGCCGTTGTGTGGCTGGAGAAGAACCCCTCACGCAGACAGAGCTTTGAGAAGGTCAGTCATAAACCATATTAACATCTTTGTTCATGTCTTCAGGAAGAGACCCAACCAGTGCTAGTTCTCTAAGGATCGACTCTTCTGCTTTTAGTAATACTTTAACAATTATGCTGTGATCACACTAGACTTTGAGCACGCAAAATTTCTTCAGACAAAATGTGACGTCACACTTTAAGGCATCTTTATTGGTTATCTTTAAGTAGCATATTGGTGTTTTTTTGAGTCGTGTTTCTAAGGAAGGTTTGTATTATGATCTCAGTTGAGCGGGTGGGTTCCTCTCACGTGTCAGTGATAGAGCTCCAGCAGATGTCTGGGATTAGCCGCCTTTATGTGTTTTGATGAACTAAGCCTGTGAAAGGTCACATGCTCCGTACAGTCTATGATCATGAAGAGAACAGTCACTTCACAGGGATGTGCGAGAAACGTAAATCTAGCCCTGATTGGATGGGGTCGGATTGCTGTTTACTTTACATATCATTGTTGCTATGCAGTTATTTAAAGACTAGACCTTAATTACAGCTCTTGACAAAAAGCTCATTGCATATCTCATTGGAATGTCAAGCAATTCTAAATGCACAGGACTGATTTTAAGTTGTAATTAGTAGCGTTTGCCAAGACAAGTGTCATTTTCACTATTACTCATAATTTGGTTCAGTTACACTATTACTCATAATTTGGGACAGTTCACTCAAAAATCAAAATTCTGTTATACTCACCCTCATGTCGCTTCAAAACCATAAGACTTCGAAACACTTCGTAACACAAATAATGGAAGCTGAGAGATTTCTGTCCCTCCATTGAAAGTTGATGCAACCAAAACTTTGATGCTTCAAAAAGTTCATGAACACATCATAAAAGTAATCCATATTAAGTGGTTTAATCTTAAAGGTCCCATGGCATGAAAATTTCACTTCTGACTCTTCTGTAGTTACATCGTGTACTAAGACTGACGGAAAATTAAAAGTTGCGATTTTCTAGGCAGCAGGCGCAATGATATTACGCAGCGCCTGAAAATAGGATAACCAAATAAATCCGTCAACATAACCAACGTGACCACCTGCTTGCACAGGGAGCGTGCTGGGGACTATTTTCAGGCGCTGCGTAATATCATTGCGCCTGCTGCACCCATGGTACGGCACTTTTCATTTTCCGTCGGTCTTAGTACACGATGTACCTACAGAAGAATCAAGTTTTAAATAGGAAAAATATAGAAACTCTTTGGTCATTTTTGAGCAAGATGCTAACGGTCTAATCCGATTCAATGATCTATGCTAAGCTACAGCTAAAAGTGCTACCGCCAGACCCGGAGATCGGCTGAATGGATTCGAAAACGGTAAAACTCAACTATTTAACTCTAGGGGAGTTGGAAAATGAGCCTATTTTCAAAAATAGTGGAGTGTTCCTTTAAGTGTTCTGAAGAGACAGGATCACTTTAGGTATATGTTGAACAGATTTGATTTATTATTCAATTTATTAATTTTTATTCACTTATCAAAAATAAACGTTTTATTTGATGCATTTTAATCCGATTTTGTGCATGATATCTGTATACAATAATGAGGTAAAAGGATAAAAACCACAGCTGATATTGCTTCTGCTTCATTCGTCACATAAAAATGTAAAATGAATTCAAACACATTGCATTGTGGGATACAGTATTCTATTGAGTATACGCTGGATTGTATCCTGCACTGAAATTAATTACGTTTTTAATGACACATTTGTATAATCAAAAGGATAAATTCATAGTCACTTATTATCCAGGCTCTCCATAAAACAAACAAAACAAACCCTACGATATACTAAAATAACACATATTATACTTTTTTTTAATTTAATGGTAGTAGATTATTTGTTAATTGAATTTAAATAGATTCCACTTTTCAGATTGAAACAGTTGAAACCGATTTGTTTTAGCTGATTTAAAGTTTCTCCCATCCATAGGTTGTGGAGCACATCAGGCTGCCCCTCATCAGTCCGTACTACATTCACGACGTCATCGAGACTCTGGATGTTGTGAAGGAATCGCTCAAGTGCCAGAAGCTGATCTCTGAAGCCAAGGACTATTTACTGCTGCAGGACCGCAGAGGAGAGCTCTACAGCCCCCGAGCTCGACCTCGACGCGCAACAGGTGACCGCAGTCCCTAAACCTGTCCTGCTACAGCGACTTATACATGCCTTATGGGCGCTTTTACACTGTCTGCTACATCTGAGCCAATTCCCTTTTAATTGTGGATTTTTTTGTCATTGTTATAAGACAGATAGGATGAGCTAAATGAAGTTTGTTACTATTGACGACTGAGCGATTAGAATAAGAACAAATAATATTTAATGTGTTTATTTACTCATTACTTTCCACATTCAGAATAGTCATAGAAACTTTAACTGTTAACGATAAAACCCCTGCTCTGAAATGCAATGCAATATCCAAAGAAATACATAGCTCTTATATTTGCTCTTGACATTCTCTCGACCAACATGAGGTGAGGTGCATCATCTGGAGCAAGCACTTTGTCTTGATGACTGTAATCATCCTGTGGCTGCTGTGTGTTTGTGTCTGTCAGGCACAGCTGAGGTGATTGTGACCGTAGGAGGAGAGGATGATAAGGTTGTGCTGCGCAGCGTGGAGAGTTTCGATCCCCTCACCAGCCAGTGGAAGAGTCTGGCCTGCCTGCCCTTCGCTGTCAGCAAACACGGCTTGGTCGTTTCTGGTGAGTGTGTTAAGGATGTGACATCATGCGACATTCAACTTCCTGAGTCAGTCGCTCAGTGATGTTTTAAGTTCATAAGTAGGGCTGGGTGGTGTATTGTATATTCATTATATATTCATGCATAGAAGAACACAAATGATTTTAAAGCCAGATGAAACGGCGCTGACAAACAGGAGAGACACTGTGCACAAAGATACAGTCAGAAGGCTTTTCAGTCTACATATCACCATGGATTTACTGTAGTACCTTAGCAACCGCATAGCAACACCCTAGCAACCACCCAGTGTACCCTAGCAACTGCATAGCAACACCCTATCAACCACCCTAAATACCCTAGAAACCACATAGCAACAGCCTAACAACCACCCCAAATACCCTAGCAATCACATAGCAACCACATAGAAACACCATAGTCTATTAATCTATATCTATCTATCTATCTATCTATCTGATAGATTGTATTGTCTTCAAAACTTTAAAACTTTCAACTTTAAAACTACTTTAAACTTCAAATTAGTTAAAATTGAAAACTTCAAGCTTTTAAAACTACTTCAAACTTTTTGGCTAGGCTTTTTCAAGCCAACTTAAAGTTTGTCTACAAACTTTACTGCATCATGGCATTATGGCAAAAATGTGGGATATTCATGTAGAATTTTATTATATTAGTAATGTAGCCATGTATCCAATGTATTAAAGGAGTAATGGGATATAATTGCAGTACTTTTGTGATTAATCTATTGCTTTTGTGCATTTATACTAGATATATTTAGATGACTGTTTTTCATACAAATATAAACCATCTAGTTATATTTTTACCATGGTATTAAGGTGATATATGTGTGGTTTTAACTGTGGTTATCATGATCTAAATGTATGCTACTATGGAAGACCAATGGTCAAACAGTATGAGTAATTACGTTTCACCTAGTGCTATTAAAAATTAGTTTTTTTTTTTTTTATCGATTGACAGCACTAGTTTCACCATATAACAGTGGGGTTGTGACAATTATAGATGCTACTGTTTGTGATAATGAACGTAAATTTACATCTGCATCCTAACTCAAGCTACTGTCAAATGTGCATTTCTAAGAGACAAATAAAGTAACATTATTAATATTGCAGCCTGCACTGCAAACTGTGCTGAAGATACGCGTCATCAAAGTCAGGCAACACAAACCTGTCTCATGATTTGAAACAAATATCACTTAACAGAACATGCAAAAACTAAGAAATAAATTTTTTTAAGAAAATAAATATTTAAGAAAAAAAATTCAAAAGTGTAAAGAATTCAAAAGCGTGATGTCATGTTCTGACCATAAAGAGTCGTTTAAAACCATAATTAATGGTCTGGTTTCTACAACTTTCACTTAGGAGCAAAAATCTGCCTTTAAACCTAAAATAAATAAAAAATGTAAATTTATTGTGATAATTACTGATATGATTTTTAGAAATAAGAAATAAAAATGGTAAATGTATTGTGACAACGACTGATATGATTTTTTATTTTTTTTGGCCATATCGCCCAGCCCTATTGTTATATTGGTTCATATAAATGAACATGAATACATATTATCCTTGTGTTCATTATGTGAAAACATATCTTGGCTGTTTTAAGTAGATTTTTTTTTTACTGTATTTTAAATACTTAAATATGATGAGATTGACACTATTGTTCAAAAATTTGCAGTCTGTAATATTTTATTATTATTTTTTTTTAAGTATTTTATGCTTGCCAAAACTCCATTTGCTTGATCATAAATACAGTAAAAGTAAAACTCTGAAATAATACTATAATTTAAAATAACTGTTTTCTATTTAAATATATTTTAAAGTGTAATTTGTTCCTGTGATCAAAGCTGAATTTTCAGCATCATTACTCCAGTCTTCAGCATCACATGATCAGACATGCTGCTTAATATTTTTGTGGAAGCAGTGGTACATCTTTTCAGGATACAGCATGTAATTATACAGCATTTATTAGAAAATCAAATCTTTTCTAGTGTTATTTAAAAAAAAAAAAGAAAATCTTACTGACCCCAAACTTTTAAAATGTAAACGAGTGCTTACAGAAATAAGCCATGTTTTTCTTGGTCTGAACTGCGTTTGTGTTTATTCAGGCTGCATGCTGTATTTGGCTGGTGGTGAGTTTCCAGACGGCTCGGCCAGTAGAGAGATGTGGCGCTACGACCCGTGTTTTGACTCCTGGTCAGAGATGGCACCCATGAACGTGGCACGATCAGAATTAGGTAATGGCCACCAAATTTGTATAAACGTTTACAAAGAGCAGGTGGTTTATGCTGTATTCCATGCAGCTCCAAAAGATGGGTTTCCAATGAGTCAAAGTTACATAATAAAAACTATTTATCAAATGTTTCCAGGTAACTGATCTCCTCTGTTCTGTACCTTTTGAACAATTCTCCTCAATTTGGTTGCAAGAAAAAGTTTTTGTTGACTGTAAAACACCTGTAGTGCTGATGGTAGCATTGCCTTTTTTTTATTTTCACATAATTTCCCAAATATCAGAAAACTGAATGCTTTCATGGCCAGAAATTGGCGGAATTAAAGGTGGGGTAAGCGAGTTTTCAAAAACGCTTTAGAAAACTGATTCGGGCCGAATAGCAACACAAACTTGTAGCCAATCAGCATTCTCGATAGGTGAGTAACACCGTGTCTGCGTCAAGTCTGTCTAGTACACTGGACGCGACAAAGCGATCGTTGAAAATCATTTGAAATTTGTGTCAATACGTCATGAATAGAACGCAGCAGCAGTTTTCTGTCGGGGATTTGTCGTGTCATGCCGCGCCGCATCCAGTGTAGAACTCCGAAATCGCTTACCCCACCTTTAAGTAGGACTATCCCACATCCAACTTGGGATGGAACGCAGCATTTCAGCCCACCCTATTGTTTGGAAACAAACAAGACCCTCTTGTTTCAAATATTAAAATTAAGAGCGTTGTTCTGTTTTTCAGGGTTGGTGATGCTGGATGGATATGTGTTCGCTGTGGGCGGCTGGGAAGGCCGTTCTCGCCTGGACTCTGTTGAGTGTTATAATCCACAGACAAACACCTGGCAGTTTATGGAATCGGTCAAGATGGCGGTCACCAGTCCAGCTGTGGTGGCACTGGATGGATTACTCTATGTGACAGGTAACAGGTTTGGTCCAACATAAGCTCCAGACAATTTGATTCCAGAATATTCCAGGTTAAATACAACTGTATGGACAGCATGTGGCCTGATTTAGTTTACCACAGAAAATAATGTCAATATAGACTATAAATGTCTGTAATGCGCGCTGGTTACACTGCCAATCAATGCTAGTAGAGCAAAAATAACGTGCTATCCATTATCTTGGTTCAATTATCAGCTGATTTTCACATGTATGAATGATCCTCAAGACATTTTTATGCCTGATTCTGATTTCAGGATTAGAATAATGGCCAGTGGCTGAAGAAAATGCTTAACCTACGTTTTTTTTTGCTGCATTATGTGTGTGTTTTGCTTTCAAAACAGTGACAAAAAATGACAGATTTTGAGGAAAGCTCTTTGACATTAAATTGAGTATTTGAACATATTTTTCCACTCCTATCCAGATTATAAGTTATACATTCTGAAAACTTTTGACATTAGATTGTCTTTGTTTTTTGATAAGTGCATTAAAGGGGTCCTATTATGCTCTTTTACAAAGTCTGTATTTGTGATATCACAAATCCTGGAAAATATGCGTTGTAGTCCAAACGAGTCGTTCGTTGTAGTTTTTAAAAAGTGATTTCTGTTAAATAAAATATCTCCTTTTGAAGTGGACTTTGAGCTTTATAACTTAGCAGATCTTTTTTATGCTCAAACAGCAACATTACAGACTAACTAAAGTTGAAAAAGTGAAAACGCATAATAGGACCCCTTTAAAGCTAATACCTATGTATAATTTGACACGTCATTCTTATTTTGTGAAGAACTGTACATGATAGAAAGTTTTTACTGATAATTTTGTACTCGGCATCATGCAATTAGGTAATAATTGGCCTTTTTGCAAATCAGCAGAAATACGTTTTTTTCAAGGGCTGTGTAATATTCCCTTCTGAAACCACAGGAGGCGCTGTTTTAGAAGATGGTGACGGCACAAACTTGGCGCAAGCTTACAACCCTAAAACATGCGTGTGGACCGAGGTGGCGCCCATGCAGATCGCCCGCTCTGGATCTGCTGCCTGCATCCTGAAGGGCAAGATCTACGTCATAGGTTAATATGGAGGCTTTTATTTCTTTAGCCGTTTGAGTCTTATCCTGTAGAGCAGTGGATCACAGTTGTTCCTCTCTAGGCGGCTGGCATGCTTCCACCGAGAACACGGATAAGGTGGAGAGCTACGACCCCAAGACCAACAAGTGGACCATGTGTGCACCCATGAAAGAGAGACGCTATCGACCCGGCGTAGCGGTGGTGGATGGAAAGATTTACGTTTTAGGAGGAGAGGAGGGATGGGACAGGTGAGAAATACTACACTAGAGCCCTATGAAATCCATTTGATTTTCCCCCAAACTCCCTTTTTTTTTCCTTTTAAGTTTTCTTTATTATATTTTAATAGTTCAGTGGGGCACTTGTATAGTTTATTATGTAATATTGCTGTGTGTGCATGTTAATGATCTGCTACAAGCAGAAAGTCCACACCAAAGGGAGTTAATTGCTCTAACAGTAATCTCTTGCTTGAAACGCCTTGTTTGTTGTCCTGCCATTATCTCTGTGACAAAGCTTACATCATCATGTTAAATATATATTTTCATAATGCCCATCTACTGGCTGTTTTGGCCCATCCTTAAAGAACTTCGGTATGTCGAGCTCTCATTGTCGTCACACTGGTACAACAATACCGATGGCATAATTGCATTAGATGTAATACTGTTTACAGCTGCTCGCGAAGCCTTTGTGAGCTGAAACACGATTATGGTATTTCGAGACATGCTCTAAGCAGTTGACCAATCAGAGCAGACTAGGCTTTTCAGAAAAGAGGCAGGAGCTTAAACAGCATTTCAGGCAGAGGGTGGAAAAAATAAAGCAATAAGCCCTGTGAAGCCGTGGTTTACAGTGAATTTATAACAGCTAAGGGGGTTTTAACAACACCCCTTAGCTGTTATAAATTCACTGTAAACCACGGCTTCACAGGGCTTATTGCTTTTATAAAATGGTTATTCCATATACGTAGTAAGGTTTCACTGAATGAAACGGAGCAAATCAAGTGTAATGATATAAAAACAGTATTCTTCCGCCAAACAATGTAGTTCCTCAGAAACAGTTGTGGTTGCAACAAAGTGGTCGCTGAGCAACACACAAATGTAAACAAAGGTGTATGTTTGTAGAGTAATTTACAACAGCTTCGAACTCGGCTCAACCAATCAGAATCAAGGACCGGAACTATCCGTTTTATAAAAATGTTTTCAGAAGTTTTTTTTTGTTGATGTTTTTGTTTTATCTTTGAAATTAATAACATGCAAACATATTTGTAAATGAGCATAAACTAGGCACTTTAATCAAAGAGTATGTCTAAGCAATTGAATTCATTAAAATGTATTATTTTATTACATTTTTAACAATAACAGTGTCTTATGAAATGTTTTATTTTCTCAGAAATTCTCTGTTCTGTTTTAATTTTTCTGGATTTTGTTTTATAACGTAATACAGATTTATTATCAAAAAGGGTGGTAATCAAATGAATGCGGAAAACTTTAATGATTTAATTAGTTTTTAAAAATGTAATCAAATCAGGTTTTTTTCTTTTCTTTTTGGTGCTCCACAACCGTTAAACCACAGGCAAAAAAACCCTGTGTGATATGTATTATTCCTTAAAATAAAAAAGTTTTAATAAAATGTATTATTATTTTTATTACTACTTTGAGGAGTACAATCTGTAATAAAATAGTGATTTAAAAAAAACATTTTTTTTGCGAGTTAAACCATACGTTTTCAGGTTGTAGTAAAGTCCTTTGAATTTCTGTGTAGCTGAAGATAGTTTTTTTTGTTTGTCTGTTTGTTTTTTTACAGTGCCGGGTCATGAACTGCATTTTGTTTATTTTATTACTATTTTTTTAATTAATAACAATATACAAACTGGAATAAGAACATACAAACGCATATCAATTCAACTTCCCCCCACCCTCCCTCACACACCCAGCCTAACCCCGCAGTCTCATTAAAATGGGGTACATAACGGATAGAAAAGTTAACAGAAAACCAAAACCACAGGAATCATAAAACATAAATTCCAGCAATCAAGAAAGCGAAAGAAAAAAAGTTAACTAAAATTACAGTGTTAAGGCATTCATTCTGAGTCCTGATTGTTGTTTTGTGCAATATACTTGGAGATCTTCTCAGCAGCTCTAGTCCAGATCCTTAATGTAGATGTAGCTGAAGATAGTTTAATAAAATTCATTGGTGAAATGCTGTCGAAGTGACTCCTAGAGCAGATGGAGGTGAAGTTTGTGTTATTGTCCTCATATAGTGAGAGCGTTACACATGCTTGAGTTTGTGTAGTAAACCAAACCACACCGTTAATTCCCACAGAGACTCAACACGCAGACTTCATATCTAACTAGTCTTTTTTGCAGTTGCAGCTGTTCACAGGCACTCGCCCATATCGTGGGATTTATTCATTCACATTTGCCAAATTCCGTGACGTTCCACGTTACACTGTATTTTATATTATGACTGGATTCTGTTTTCCACATTGTGGAAGTCATAGGGTCCTACTACACTCAATCTAGGGCTGCACAATTAATCGAATTTCTAATCGCGATTACAATTATGGATGCCACAATTACGTAATCGTTCAAAGTCCACGTATGTTATTCTGCGTGTTTAAGATGTGTTTTTTTCTTTTTGCGGTTGCATCAAACAATGGTATAAACATCATTCAATGTAAATTGTGATAATCGTAATTAATAATCGCAATTACAATTTCAAGGGAATAATCAACAATTATGATTTTTGTCATAATCGTGCAGCCCTAACTCAATCTGAGGCCTGCTAGCTATGTCCACGGTCTGTCGAGTGTTTCTGACCGAACTGACTTCCTCTGCAGGTATCATGACACTATCGAGCGGTACTGTGAGGAGTCGGACAGCTGGGAGATCGTGGGAGAAATGCCCACCAGCCGCAGCTGGCTGAGTTGCGTCTCGCTGCAGCTCCGGAAGGACTCTCACGCGGGCAGCCGTCCCGGCACTGCCTTGGAGACGGAGTTTCCTGTGGACTGAGAGCACCGGGGCTCCACCCGCATCACTGCCGGCCCGGGACACAAGGCCAGGGGGCAGCTTTCAGAGCGCCCCGCCCCACGAGAGCTATTTTAAGGAAGGGAAAATGTCCGACCCAGACGCTGGAGGGTCTTCAGAAAATATTTGTGTCATAAGCTAGTATGCTTTCTCCAGTGCGACCCTCTGCCACGGTGTGAAGCTGGATGGATTGATGATATCTGTGGTGATTGTAAGTCTGTGTGTGTGTGTGTGTATGTGTGTGTGTGAGCCGCCATCCCAGAGTCTCCACAGTATCAGTTCAATGTGATGTTCAAGTGACGTACAGGGTTGCTTCCATGCGCTGACTTATACAAGTACTTGTTTGTTTTCTAACAGTGTTGAAGTGAAATGTTTTGTACTTTTTGTATGGTGATTTCTGTATTTATTATAAGTTTTTTGTTGTATTTAGAGATTTATGGCGTAACTAGCACAGATACACTGAAACGTGTTTAAAAGGGAAAGTTCACCCAAAACTGAAAATTCTGTCATCATTTACTTACCCTCAAGTATTGTATGAGTTTTTCTTTGGTTGAACACAAAATGATGGTAACCAGTTTGTGGTTTCCATAGTATGGAGAAAAAGACACATATTATGGAAGTCAGTGGGGACCAGAAACTGTTTGGTTACCAACATTCTTCAAATTATCATCTTTTGTTTTTAACAGATGAAAGAAATTCATATAGGTTTAGAACAACATGAGGGTGAGTAAATGATGACAGAATTTTCGTTTAGGGTGAACTAACCCTTTAAATCCATTAGTCTTCATATTGTGCACAGTATGTATGTATACCCAAATAACCTTTACATTTGCCAAAATGTTTCGAATACAACTGAGCACAGTGCGCTGGGTACTGTATCCCACAATGCAATGTGTTCAGCTTGATCGAAGAATGAACATGAATTACAGCTGCAGTTTTACCATCTTTGCTTGACTCATTATTTGTTTGGTTTTCTTAAAGACTTCTTTAGCTCAGACTTTTGAGTTAAAAAGGAAGAAAATAAATGACAAGCAGTTCATGCATATGTATACAATGCGTGAATCAGATAATGCTAGGTTTATGGTTCTTATTACAATCTGAAATCAGACTGGATTCTCTCATATATAAAACTTAAAATAATATTTGTGATGTGATCTCAATACTGACACATTCTTTCTACATACAGAACCGTTAAGGTCAGTTATAACTTTTTTTTTTAATAAATTATTAATAAACGCTGCCGTTTTGAACTTACTATTCATCAAAGAATCCTGGAAAAAACTTATATATTTTTTTTTTTACACAATAAATACAAAGCAGCACAACAGTTTTCAACATTGTTAATGTTGAAATTATTATTAATAATTAACAATCAGAATTTTTTGTTGAGCACCAAATGAGCATATTAGAATGATTTCTTAAGTGTGATGTGACACTGAAGACTGGAGTAATAATGACCACCAAAACTACAATTAATTACATTTAAAAAATAAAACAAAATGTGTTACTGTATTTTTAATTAAATAAATGCAGCCTTGGTGGGCCTAAGAGATTTCTTACAAAAACTAACAAAAAAATCTTACTGACCTCAACATTTATAACAATTACATACAATCACTAGTGAAGTACATAATTATAGTATAATTACCGTATACAAATAGAGATGCAGAACATATGTATTCTGGAGTTTGTGTTTTATTACAAGTCTGTACAATGATTGCTATATATATATATAAAACTTCATAACTTATTTTAAATGTTCTACCAAGCCAAACGTAATTCTCATAATTAAATAAAAAAATAGAAAAACAGCTATTATATTTTTCTTTCCTTAATATAAATGTACATGTGCTCGCCCAGTGGCAAAATGAGAAAGTGAACACTTTAAAACTCAACATACACAAAACAAATCAAAATAAGAATTAAAATGTAGGTGGTAAGTGACAAACGAGGGGAAAATCAAAACTGCAGATGTGCGGAAGAGGTCTCAGACCAGCAGTCTCTCGATGGCCATCTGCACCGACTGAATCTGAGGCTTGAGCTGAGAGCCTTCCTTAATGGTGACCGAGGTGGCGATGACGGGCCGGGACACCCCGCACGCGCGGCCCAAGGCCTGCTTGGAGCGCACAAACACGTACGGGACGTTCTTGTCCTCACACAGCAGAGGCAGATGAAGGATGATCTCCAGAGGTTCAGCATCGGCAGCCATCACGATGAACTCCGCAATGCCTCGGTTCAGGGTTTTAGTGGCTGGAACAAATCCACATTAGTTAATTAGTCACGTCCCGTTGCAGCCAGACTTCTGCTTTGTCTGCAAGGACAGTTTCTAGGACGTTTACCTACCTTCATTGGCCCCTTTTCTCAGTTGTTTGTAATTGGCCGCTTGTTGAACCAGGTCTAGGATGGTTTTGGCGAGAGTGGCGTCCGCCAGAGGATAAGCTTTAGGATTCACGTCTGATTCAGCCTGGAAGCGACCAGCATTTATGAAGTCAAAGACAACACAGACTATAAGCATGAATTAACACATGTGCCTCTATGCGTCCCACAAGTTCTGTTGGCTACAATTAACGTTACATGGCTCTAAACAAACCAGCGGCTAACCATGTTACATGTGTCACACGTGGGTTGATTTACCGAGTTACATTAATGAAATGCATTAAAACACCACGAGTTTTTAACCGAGACATTTTAAACCACCACGAAGTTTTAACTACGAGTGTAAAAGCATCCCATAAAAACCAACCATACAAAAGAAAACAGCAGCACGTGTTGAACGGATAGACATAGGCACAAACATTCTATCCTAATCGACATCTAACCGTTAGTTAAAAACTGTTATTATGAAATACATATTTACCATTTCTGCAAGCTGTGATTTAGATGTCTGTAGAAATAAACGCGAGTGGTCCTCTCGGCGTGTGCTTCACGGAGGACAAGCGGACCGCTGCGGAGTTTATTAAACGGATCGTGAGTCGAACAGCGAACGTTCTGCGCGTGTGTTGCTGGCGCATCGGCGTGCGTCATCAAAATGAGACCGCGAGATTAAAAGTTTTGTAGCGATAGGAAAGTATCGAGTTACAATTTTGCTTCAAAGGGTCTCTTAAAAAAAATGGAAGACTGCATTAACTCTTTTTAAAATGTATTTTACTGAATAAATAATAACAATATAGCCTTCATGAACTTTCGTTCAAATACAGATCAAACAACATACAATGTATTCAAAACTAAAACGGAAAAAAGAACAAGAAAAAAAGAGAAAAAAATACTACAGAATTGGGTATAAAAATGTCAAATAAATACTAACTCATAGCTATATTACTCTGTACTTTCTGTACACCTTGCAGTCAAAAGAACTAAATGTGTGTGTGTGTGTGTGTGTGTGTGTGTGTGCTCGGATCAAACACAGTATGATGGAGTCATGGTGCACATGTCACTGGAAAACCTGTGAATGCCCGAGAGATTTAAAGCCGTGATTTCCAGGTTTGGGGAAGTCTAAACTGATAAGTAAATAATGAATTGATAAAAAGTAAAAGTTTGGGTATTTATATAGTGAATTTAAAGAATTTCACTGGTTTTACAAATATTATTTTTGAGGGCAGTCTCTAAAATTATTTTCTAAATCTTTATCCAATAATCCCACATGACTGGAAGATTCATTGGTGGGAAATTTGTACTGCAATCCGCCTTTTTCCTACATCCCATGACGCTTTGCACAAACTATGGGTATTAACTTACACTGTAAACAATCAGCAAAAGGTTCGCTCCATGAACGCAATAATAAGCATTTTCAAAAACTGGGTACTATGAGGTGACATTATTTTTCTCACCCTTCAACCATCGATCATTAACAGGAAATTTAAAAGTGTAAAAGCATTAACAAATTGCTTTCAACATACCGTGAATAAATCCTAAAGATCCTCCTTGTATCCTCAATATAACGGACGTGTTAAATCATTATAGTCATTATAGTAATATAACAATTACATTTTAAACTTGGAAAGAGACGTGAGGATTTGAGGAGAAAAATGAAAGATTTTTAGTGCATTCCAGGGAATTATTCATGGTTTGTATATCGTAAATGAAATCGGGAGGCCACAAATGCACAGTATATGTTGTATTCTTTCATTTACTTACAGCAGAATACAAAGGAAACGTGAGACTAATCAGGAGGAAAATAATGCAGCGAGCTATTCTAGAGATTTCGTTGTTATATCACGTCACATTAATATACCAAGCTATTCTCCTGACTTCTGAAAATAGAAAGTTGGTGATAATTTACAGCCCATTCAGTCAAAATGACGGATGAGGATTATTTGTAGTGCAATCTTATGATTTTAAAGGGGTCATATGATGCGATTTCAAGTTTTCCTTTCTCTTTAGAGTGTTACAAGCTGATTGTGCATAGATAAGATCCCTGAAGTTGCAAAGACTAAAGTCTCAAAACCAAAGAGATATTCTTTATCAAAGTTAAGACTCTGCCACTGGATAAAAAAATATTGATATCTTGATATTAATCGATTCTCATTTTTACGGAACGATGTCGATTCTTAAATCCCAAGAATCTATTAGTAAAAAATATAGATATCTCGATATTAATCGAATTTCATTTTTACGGAACGATATCGATTCTTAAATCCTAAGAATCGATTATTCTAGCCTGTTTTCAGTTAATGGACAGAACGTTGAAGGGCACCTCCCAACCAATAAATCGCAATAAGCATTGTGCTTTGGTACTTTTAATATGAAGCAAAGTCTCAGATTTCAAATTCTGTCCATTGTATTGCAGTATTCAAACAATAAATGCCGTTTTGGCGCTGTTTAATGTGGAGTGACAGATCGCTGTAGTACCTCAGTTCAACAGACGTGGCAGCGCGAGGCGGACGTGAACTAATCATCTCCTCCACATTAATACCAGTTTCAGTACAAAATAAACATGACTAAACATCCGAAGGTAAGTTAAAAGAAAGAGTACAACTTTACAGTCCGTATCCTGTCTCATGTAATCGCTCAATCAGTGTTTCAGCGCGCAGAGAACATCAAGTTTTTATGACAGCCACCATTATGTTTATATTAAAAAAAAGAAGTATTAGTATTAGTAGAAGTATTATTATGTAACTGTAACTTTATTATTTTAAAAACTTTAAGTGTAATTTTAACAAATCAGTCAATTTTAACCTTCAGTATTATAGTAATGTAGTTCCAACTGACTCTCATGTATATTTTACAGCATTAGTAGAGAGATTTTTTTCCTTTTTGGTTTGGTATGTACTGTACCTGATATGTATCCAAAATAATCAATATTGAATCGAATCGAATTGGTAATCGAATCGCAAGCTTGTGAATGAGAATCGAATAGAATCGTGAAATTTGTCAAAACCCAGCCCTACTAAACCCACATTACCAGTGTTACAAAAAATGTATATATGAAATGACAACAACAATATCATCAAAGATACCAGCGTTCAATTAATAGTTATTAATAAATAAATAATAAAAAAAGAACTTGTCAAGAACATGTCTTGGGTCATATTTTTACCCCGAAATCAATAGAATGAAACAAGAATATATTTAAATGTTATTATTATTATTATTATATACTATTAAATTATATGTTGCATAAAATGATTATTTTTTGACAGTTACACTTTATTGCCATAATGAGTAAAATTATTGATATTAAATTGAATTGAAAATTTAAATAATTGATATTGTTACTGAATTAAATTCTGTTAACCATTTATACGTGTTCATATTTGTTGTATTGCCTTGAATTCATATTGATTTAAATAGAAAAGTCATAACATGTGTAACAATGTTTTTACTTTACCGAGGATCTGAAGTGTAAAATGAATCAACAATGAGAGTAATGGGAATTACAACCAAAACACAGCAGTAATATAAAATGGATGATTACTTTTTTTGCGCATTACAGTAATGAGAATTTTGTTGGCAAATATGCTTAATTGACATTAAATCCAATAAATCCTAATGGTCCAAAAATAGGCTCCATTTTCTTTGTAGCTTTAGTTTTGTTTGTGCTTGATTGATTGACTGAATTGGTGGTCCTATTGAAATGGTGTTTGTGTGCAGGTGAGCTGCGTGTGCAGAGCGGTGGAGGTCTGGTGCATGCTCTGCTGGCATGTGAAGGAGCCGCGGCGGGCTCTGCGGAGGCCAACGCCTTCAGCGTGCTGCAGAGGCTTCTGGGTGCAGGACCACACGTCAAGAGAGGATCCGACATCACCAGCAAACTCAGCCAGGGCATCGCCAAAGCCACCGCACAGCCGTTCGATGTGAGTACACGTCATCTGCGATCGCTTTCCTCAGAGTACGGACGATTAGATCTCACTACAGCTTGGATGCTTCTGTTTGATCTTCCTCACAGGCCACGGCTTTCAGTGCTACTTACTCTGACTCTGGCCTCTTCGGAGTGTATGTCATCTCACAAGCAGACTCGGCCCGCGAGGTGAGTGTTCAGAGAGCAGGGCTAGCTGTTTGGTCAAGGACTAGCTAAACTCTGATGTTGTTCTAAACCTGTGTGGCATTATTTAAGCTCTTTTCCATACAGTGACTGTGGCTTTTATTTGTGGGTGAACTGTTCCTTTAATGCTGACGGTGTGAAGTGAGTGATTGACATCTGCATTGATGTCTCTCTGTCTGCAGGTGATCAATGCAGCCATGGCACAGGTGACGGCTGTAGCTGAAGGAAGACTTACTGCAGATGACCTGACCAGAGCCAAGTGAGTATCAACACCAGCCAGTCAGCAGAGTAAAAGAAACGCCATTAGCAAAGCTTTTAACGCCCATATAAGCAGTGCTTTTTGAGCTAAGAAGAATGAATTTGCTTGAAATTTCAGGAAGCGTTTCTATAAAACTGTAGGCTACATCTACAGTTTTTTTTATTTGGAGTAATGTGCTTTAAGAAAGTAAATGGAGTCAGTTTTGATGTCATGTTAGTTGTTTCTGTCAGTGTTGCCATCAGTTGAATGAAGGACCTGGTATTGTGTGTTCAGGACCCAGCTGAAGACCGATTATCTGATGTCTTTGGAGAGTTCAGAGGGCCTGCTGGAGGAGCTGGGAGTTCAGGTTTTGAGCAGCGGCGCCTACAGCTCACCACAGTCTGTGACACAGAGCATCGACTCGGTGACCTCCGGTGACGTTGTCAAAGTAAGTCATTTATGTAAATCATGATAAATTCAAGACGAGTTCACAAGCAACAAAGACCTGAGAAACAGGAAAAGCCATGGTGAGAATATCACCATGAGCATAATTGGCATTGATTTAAAAATGCCAGTTTTTTGTTTTGTTTTGTTTTGTTTTGTTTTGTTTTGAAGAAAGCATTCAGTCTCCATCACTGAACAGTTCCTAAACCTATGAAAATCAATGTGGATCAAGCTCTGTCTGATTAATTGAAGTGTTTAGATTAAAGGGTTAGTTCACTCAAGAGAAAATTCTGTCATTAATTACTCACCCTCATGTCGTTCCAAACCCGTAAGACCTTCGTTCATCTTCTGAACACAAATTAAGGTATTTTTGATGAAATCCGAGAGCTTTCGGACCCTCCGTAGACCTATAAGGTTTATCAGTTCGTAGGTTTTTCTGTCCGATTGAGCCATCAATCCGATTATAAAAGCATTACTAGGTTGCTCATTATACCATTTCGGGGATCCCAAGTTCGAGTCCTTGCTTGTGGACCTTTCCCGATCCTGTCCCCCCTTTCTGGGGACAGTAAAATGTTTTAAAAGAAAGCTTTTATACTCAGCAAGGCTGCATTTAATAGGTTAATAATTTAAAATAACAATTTAAATAATTTTTCAAATGTATTTTATTCCTATGATGCAAAGTTGAATTTTCAGCATCATTACTCCAGTCTTCAGTGTCACATGATCCTTCAGAAATCAGTCTAATATGCTGATTTGCTGCTCAACAAACATTTAGGATTAAGTTAAAAAGATAGCATCAGCGAATATTTTTATATATATATATATATATATTTATGAGACACTTTCATCCAAAGTTACACACCTTTTATTTCATGCGTTACCTCAGACTTGAACCCATGGCCATAGTGTTGCTAGTGCCATGCTCTGCTGTTTGAGCTACAGGAACACTACATAAATACTACTAATTAATCATCACAGACATATTTATGAATACTCAGTGTTCCCAATAATATGGATTGTTAGCTTACCTGCTGGTTTCAGCAGCACCACTTGCTGATGAAACTGCTAAAACAGTAAAAATACAGTAACTGTTGGATGATGTATGACAGCAGAATTCAGTTTTTTGTTTTTTTTCACAGGCTGCAAAGAAGCTTGTTGAGAGCAAGAAGACCATGTCATGTTGTGGACATCTGGCAAACACACCATTTGTTGATGAAGTGTGAGAGAAAGTCCCAGTCTAAAGTGCACACATTGTGCAGCTGCTTATTTGAGTGTAAAAACATTCTTAAACTTGTATGAATCCCTGATTGCTGTTGACAGTTGTTTTTTGGTCAGTTCATCATGAAGTCTGGTCCTTAGTAACGGTTTACTGGGAGCAGAGGCATCAGTTTCGTCCATTTCACTGTATATCTGATGTACATTCATTAAAACAAATCTATCGGTGATGAATACTCCTTGTCTGCTTCATCATTCCTCTGAAGAGTCGTCTGTAGAATCATGGTTTTAGAACCATTGCTTTTGGTAGTTCTTCCGTTAGCCTGCAGAGAGAGACAATGAGCTGCACATTAGGTTTAAGGAAAGAGAGAAAAAAACATTCCCACCTTTTCATTTGTGGTTCTGTTTAAGGAAAGGATATGATGACTTGGAAGAAAGAAAGAAATTGTTTAGTTTTGCTTTTTTTGACTTAATTCAGTTCATTTTTATTTATTTTGGTGTATTATAAGCATGGATTTATCTCTTTTCTTGAGTGGAATTAACACCTGCATTAATACATTTTTGGTCCTTATATGTTTTAATTAAACTAAAACATATTTGGCATAAATAGTGCTAAAAAGAGGTCTCAACTGTTTGATAAATATATATAAAAATATTAATATACAAGCATAGTTTAGTTTTACAAGATCAGTCATAACATACTTTGCTCATAGCTAAACAAAATATTAAGTATTTATCATAAGGTTATTAAATTATAGCCTATAGTACTATTGTATGATTTAAACACCAACGCTGCTGTTACCCGGAGTCTCGCGAGAGCGACTGAGCGAGATCTCGCAGGCCTGTTGTGTTGTGTCTGAAGAGAGAGAGACGCTGTGTGGGGGTTTTCGCTTGATGTCATTGCGTTTACGCCACCGTTTCTCATGCTTCTGCGGCGTCTTCCAGTCCTCTCTTTCCCCACATACACCCGTTTAACGACCGTTCACGGTACACCGGCGGGATTTTGACGGGTTTTTGAGGACGATGCGGCGGCGCTCGAGCAGATGCGCGTGCAGCTGAGGAGAAAGATGGACCGTAACACCGTCGATGAAAACGGCCCTCTACGGCTCTGAGTCGCTGTCTTAACGCATTCGCGGTCCAGTTCCCGCAGTCGAGAGCTTCTTCGCAATGGATATGTGCACGGCGAGCGGCATCAGGCCCTCCGGATGGCAAACAAGCCGCGAGGATCTGTAGCCTGCTAAGTTAGCTAGTAACAGAAGAGCCCCGCAGTCAGTCACTATATGAGGATGATGAGGATGAGCATCAGCCTTGAGCTCTTGTTAGGAGGAAGATCAGGCACACAACCTGATCTTTAAGGAGTTTGTGTTGTTCTCCAAGGCTGCTGGACTCCTAGCCATATCATATCGCGCCATATCATGCAGTCAGACTCGAGCAGGGACGTTTACTGACCGCTTGCTGATAGCTCTACAGAGATTAGCTCAGTTCTTCACTCCTAAATCGGAGTCCAGGGCACCAGAGATGGATAAACTCACCATTATTTCAGGATGTCTCTTTCTGGCCGCGGATATATTTGCCATAGCGAGCATTGCCAATCCAGACTGGATCAACACTGGCGAGTCAGCAGGTGAGATATGAGATCAATAACTTTGTATTATAATGTCTTCAGATCGGGGAACAGCAAAGCTGCGAGCTCAGCTGTGTGTGCATCTCTAAACAGGCATTTCTTGTTCATAGACCCGCTTGTTTCTCGTCTGTTTTCAAGATTTTGACAATAATATATATTTATATATTCTACTGAGGTTAGATTAGATTTTAAAGCAGCTCTTTATAATAACTTGCATTAATTTGTCATTTAGAAACATGATTATATATTGCTGAACATAACATTAGTTCACGTGCATTCAGATATCACATGAACCTTTTGATTCTCAGATGTTTTATAATTTATAATAATATAATATATAATATGTAATACATGAACCATAGTGCTGAAAAGCATTCTTATATAACATTTGTTATTTAATGAAAACAATATTTAGTGTCACTCACAGGATTTAAAGTTGTTGCAATATAGCATCTACAGAAATGTCATTTTTTTTAGCTCACAAATAGTTAATGTAATGAAATATGAAACACTTTAATCTAATTTAAATATAAAATGTGACGTTATTTGTATTTTGTCATAATTTAAGCTCAACTCTTAAACTTTGTTAGTCATTTATAATTAATTTTGTGAGTAAATTCACTGTAAGATCATATTAAAAATCATTATCCAGGGATCAGGAGTGACTGAAAAGGTCATTTTGACACATCAAGCAAGCACTGCAGTCAAAATTGCATCATGATTCTTTAGTAATGTTTAACCATATAACTCTGTCATCTGAGCACTAACGTCACTATGTCCAGCTTCAAACCTTTAAACGAATGAAGCTCATTCGATAAAAATTATTTTTAGCAGTTCCTTGCATGTCTAGTTGTTCAACTGCTCTGTTTTGGTTATGTAGCAGTTTTATGTGCCTCTCGCAGCCGTGAGGACACCTACACCGTTATTAAACATTTAAACCCATGACTGTCTTCAGATGTCCATGTGCAGGCGGCCTGTTGATAAACAGCTGCTCTTTGTTCAGCAAGCATGACTGCTTAGTAAGTGGGTCAGCAGGGGTTCAAGCACAATCCACTCAATTCAGCAAGAATCGCTGGCCTTTGGGGTGTTTTCTTACATGTCAAATGCTCCAGCGGTGAATCAGGTGCTAAAACAAGCAGCCATATGAACATATTCCTTTGTGTCTTTCCTCAGCCATCCAGCGCAAGGAGTTTTAGCACATGCTTCCTATCGAATTCATTTAGGCCACTTGTCTGAGGCTTTCTTATTGTCTGGATTAGACATTGTTGTTCCATGGTATGTGTGTGTGTATATGCATGTGTATATGTATGTGTGTGTATATACACACACACACACACACACACACATAAAGTAAATGAATCAGACATTAAGATCCATTGCATTATTTGATATTTTTTAAATGACAATTTAGCACATTGCAAACACACACACACACACACACACACACTAAATTCTCATTACTCTAATGTATCCAGGTGTCTGTTTTACATTTGAGTTTCATTTTGTTTTGTAGTTCTCATTCGCAGTGGTAATTCTCATTATAGATTTCAAAATAAGAGTTACACAACACACACTGTCATCTTGTAGTCCTTGTTTGTGCTGTTATAAAATGAGTTACGAAAGTAGATGATGGATCACACACACAAAGATCTTTCAGACTCTTTAGTAAAGTCCATTGAGAAACACATGTTTTGACGCACACACAGACTTAATATTATATGCAATATGTACGTTACTGTATGCTGAGTCTAAATGATTTTTTGCATTATATAAATAGCAGTTATTTGGAGGGTTATATAGCCTACTTAATGCTTATTATTATTATTATTGGGTGCATTTTGTAATGTTTTGTATGATTCACTTTGAAACATAATGCACTTGTCAAAGAATGACTTGATGAAAACAATACTGTAAAGCCCTCATAGATGCATTGTTTGTCTGTTTGTTTGTTTGTGTGTCAGATTGTTCTTTTAGCCTGCCAAATGAAGAATTTAGAGTTCATTGTTTAGTACGTGGCTGCATGCAATTCAGTAAAGTAAATGGGCTCCTTTGTGAGCCATTGTCAGATTGTTTCCTTCCTGTGAATGGTAAAATCATTAAAGTGTTTGTAGAGTCCCTGCCCTCACTTTGATGTGGTCTATGACCAGAATGAGGCAGAATAATTGGCTGATGAGAGATTGTTTAGGCTCTTTCAGAGAAATCGTGTGTTTGATCTAGGCCTACTTCTGGACATTTTGACTAAATGGTTGCATTGAAGGCTTTTTTTCCAGTCATTATTTGTTTCTTTTTGCCTGTATTGATGGGTACACAAAGACATTTTCACACAGTTCAAGAAAGTTTGTTGTCTTTTTTGTTTGCTATTATTATGCTTATAGTTTTTGGATCAAATAAAACCCTAACTTTAATTATTCAACTTTGGCACTTAATTTGTCCCACACCAGTTGTGCTACAGATATAGTTCGCTTAATACAGTTAAAATTTTCTGGAAATTTACCCTCAGGCCATCCAAGATGTAGATGAGTTTGTTTCTTCATGGAAACAGATTTGGTAAAGTTCAGCATTCCATCACTTGCTTACCGATGGATCCTCTGCAGTGAATGGGTGCCGTCAGAATGAGAGTCCAAACAGCTGCTAAAAACATCACAATAATCCGCAAGTAATCCACATGACTCCAGTCCATCAGTTAACATCTTGTGAAGTGAAAAAGTTATGTGTTTGTAAGAGACAAATCCACCAATAACACGTTTTTATCTTAAAACTGTTGCTTCTGGCTAAAATATGAGTCTCCTATCCATAATATTGCTTAAGGTTTTCTCATGTGAATCAGGAGAGATGTATATGCACAAGCTGCTATGCGAAAACAGTCCAAAACAGCTCTGAACAAATATGTTGGTGGATTTTGATGTGAGAAGACAACAAGATTGACTTCTTCACTGGATGAAGCATTATTATGGACTTGTATTTTAGCCAGAAGCAACCGTTTTAAGTTAAAAACATTGTAATGGTGGATAGGCTTGCCGCGATAGATGGTGCTGACGGTGATACCGGTGTTAAGCCACAACACCGGTTACGTCATTTGCCCACTGCGTCACCGACCCCCACCGTCGTTTTGATTTTTTTCAGTTTTGATTTACCGAAGGAAAGCGAGGAAAAGAGGGAACGCCCCCGCGGTGATTCCGGTATTACCGGTGTTGTCACACGTCGATTAACCGGTGGGAAAATTTCCTCACCGTCACAACCCTAATGGTGGATTTGTTTCTTACAAACATGCAGCTTTTCACTTTACAAAAGACGTTAATTGATGGACTGGAGTGGTGTGGATTATTGTGATGTTTTTATCAGTTGTTTGGACTCTCATTCTGATGGCACCCATTCACCGCAGAGGATCCATTGGTGAGCAAGTGATGGAATGCTACGTTTCTCCCGATCTGTTCTGATGAAGAAATCTTCTACTCATTGGATGGCGTGAAAATGAGTACATTTTCTTAAGATTTTCATGTTTGTAAACTATTCCTTTAATGATCCATCAAATGTTGTTGCTCAAAAGAATGAACTTGCAGCAAATTTCATCTGGTGGACAATATAAAGGATGGTAAAAATCCCTTACTTGCTTTGAAGGAGGGACACAATCATATATAGAGAGACTAAAATATCAGACATTTATCAAGAATGCTTATTTGTCATGGCCTAGAAAGCAACCGCATAGCAGCTTGTTAAAACTCTCAGAACACCATAGTAACAGCATAGCAACACCTTGACATTGTGAAAGCAAGATTTCCACAGACAAGCACCACTTGCATATTAGTAAGACATTTAAAATCTTCATTTTTTTTAAAGAAACATTTTTAGCATCTGGAGCCTTTTTAATGAGTCAGCCAACCTGCAGAGACTTAGTAAATGCTTGCCTTTTAAATTCCCCTGGATTTCGCATTTACAGCATCAGCAGGGGGAAGAACAGCAGTAGAGTAATTTAGATGTCCAAAATGATATGGCACGTATACCTATAAGTAGGGCTGGACAATAATTCAATATCAATATGTATGATCAAAAGTGATGATAAAGGCATTTATAATGTTACAAAAGATTTCTATTTCAGATAAATAGTGTTCATATCGATATCGGAATTATATCGTATCGACCGAAATTAAGAAATATATCGTGATATCAATTTTGGCCATATCGTCCAGCCCTACCTATAAGTCTTTGCTCGTATATGCATGAGATTATCAGCATTGGCTAGTAATTAACCCTGACGTTTACTAAATGAAATGCTAGACAAAAAATGTAGTAACATTTTATTCTTTCATGTCACTTAAAAGTATGGTCTAAAATGCCTTCTCACCTTGTCAGGCCTGTCAGTAAGGGCAATTAAACCTAATTTCCCCGCCGACTCATTATGTTGTTTGACAGGAATATGGCCATCCAGACAGACGCCCAGTATGTCCCCTCAAACCCTAGCTGAAAAAAAGGAAATCTTTTTGATTGCCATTTACTGCTCCAATTCACATCTGCGGTGCCAGTGAGACAGCTGTAAGGATGGGATGTTTGCATTTGTTCACTTTTTCAAAGAAAGCTACAGTTCACAGGCAGGAGTCACGGCAAAGACGGGAAATTATGCAGCGGAGACCTTCAAACTCAACCCGTGACTGAGAACCCAAGAGCTTGCAGGGACAAAACACGAGTTGGTGGTCTTGACATTTACAAAATGAAAAAAGCCCTCCGAGCCTTTTATTCCCAGAGAAACACTCTGAGTGAGAGGAATGATTAATTCGGCTCACTGTCTCCGTGTGACAGCATACAGTACTCATTTCACTCTCCAGGCAGGGAGCTGATTGTTTGGAGCTTGTTTTAGAGGTGTCGATGGCATTTTTAACAGTGCTGTTTCTGTTTGCAGAAAAATAAGCGCCCGACTAGAAATGCCACTTCCTCCCACTGTTTCTGAAGCACTTGCTCATGCAGAATTCTGACTCAAGAACAAAATATGAAAGTGTATTTTAAAC